TGATGGTAAGTTGCTCTTGCGTGCTGGGGATGAACAGGCTACTTTTTCTGTGACTGAGTTTGATCACTGTGCTATGATTGCTGTCACGCCTGTGCATGCTATGTCTGATCAGGTACACGAGTCTGTCGTGTACCCTTCTGCACCTCCTATTTTGCAGGACCCTCCTATCATTCCTTCGCCGCCACTCCATCCAGCCTCGCCTCCGAACAAAAAGCTCAAGGAGGAGTGGCGGCCGAAGCCGCAGGTTGCTAAGCCTGCGCGGAAGAAGAGTGGAGACCACTATGAGCTGGTCCCACCTCCTGCACCACGACCACCCTGGCCGTCCGGGTACGCGCTCTCCTGCATCTTGCCAGATGGGCAGGTCGAGCTGACTGATGAGGGTGGTCGGATCCGTCGGGTGCATGGCCACAACCTCAAGCTGTACCTCAAGAGCGATGTGGATCCGCTCTTGGAGGCACCTGTTCCTGCACCGCCCTGAGTATCCACCATGGGCGTCCAGCTAATACGACGGTAAAGAAGCGCTTGTGGGGAGGCAACCCCACCACGGTTTGATTTTCTTTTTTGTGTTTTGAGTCGGATTGTAAACCAGTCGGTTTTGGTTTGTTTTCTTTTGGTTCTGGATGATGTCTTATTGGGATGACATTGGACCTAACATACTGTGTTTGAGCTCTTCTGTTCCTCTTTAGCTGTGCTTGCTCCGACTGGCCGCTTCCAGCCCCCTGCAGCCCGTGCATACCGGTAACATCTTTCCTTTTCCCTTCCCTCTTCTCCATTGAGGGCAATGTCGATCTTAAGTGTGGGGGGATGTTTATCTTTTTTGACTGCATTAAATCTGCTTGTGTGCTTGGAGCCTAGTCCACTGTCCAAATTTTTAAATTTGAGGGCTCCAAGTACGTGTTTCCTTGCAATTGCCTGCTCAGTATGCTTTGAATTGACAGTCTTTATAGTAATATGCAACCTAGGGAGGTAGTGTAGCACTATGGAGGATGTTGATGCATTTAAGAAGTCTCATTTCTTCTTCATATTGAGTTGGTTGATTGAGTGAATTAGTGATCTTAGGACCCTTGAATAGTGTGGTGTTGTGGATTCTCTGCCTGTCATGGACTCTTGTATCATGTTTTGAGTTTAACAGGTGCTCGAAAATGTGCTTCAAATAACGTCTCCCGTGCGAATAGGGCGAAAGTGTGTAAGGGGAGACGGGAATCCGTTCCCAATTTCCACCTACTACCTCCAGCCCCCTTACATGTCTTTCCCCCTCACGAGGCTCGAGACATCCGCTCCTGGCATGGCCGGTAAGAGCAGGTTGGGACCCTTGAAAAGAAAAAAAAAAGAAAAGAAAAATAACAGAAAACAAGCAAAACAGAAAAAAAAGGGTTCCAACCATCTTCAAAGAAAATCGAGTACCTTGAAAAATGTGAGTCCATGATCCTTTGTTTTTGAGAATCTCTCCATCCACGATTCATTTGTCCTCTGTTCACTTTTTGCCATGATACCGACTCGATAAGAAGCTTTGAGATGACTTGTGCGTCGGTTGACCTCGTAAGTTGCTAAATGATCTAGGAAGTCCTCTACTTACGATCTGGGTTGTTTGTTGCTATAGAGGTCTGGAGAGTTGCATTGGTTTGAGTTAGGTTTGCTTGGGGACAAGCAAACGGTTAAGTGTGGGGGAATTTGATAACGATGTAAATGCACATGTTTGCGCCCCTAGTTCTTATCCGTTTGAGGAGTATAGTCGTGTGTTTTGGCCTATTTTACGCCGGGTTGTGCTATTTTGTCATGTTTCAGGTCCCAGGCGTTAAAGGGAAGGCTAACCGCGAGTTTCGGGGCATTCGGAAGTCATTTCGGTGAGCTGGAGCCAAAACACGGGCAGACCCAAGGAATTACACGGCCGTGTACTGCTGGCCGTGCTTTTTATGCCGAGAGCAAATTTGGTTTGGCCAATTCAGTTGCAAACACGGGCACTGAAGCACGGCCGTATTCAGTCAAAGCACGGCCGTGTCCATCGCGAAGCACGGCCATGTTTCCACCAGCTGCTGGCCGTGTAATTAAGCCCTGGCCGAGGCACGGGCGGAGTCAGGCAAAGCACGGCCGTGCCCTCGACCGTGCTTTGGCCACTGATGCTTTTAAGCAGATTTTCAGCCACAACTCAGGGGGATTCGAGTTTTTGAGAGAGAGATCAGTTCCTAGAGAGAGAAAGTGACGAGCAAGAGTTCCCAAGTGCCCTAGATTGACCTTCAACACCATTGGAGGCCAGCTTGAGCTTGGGGAAGTGCCAATCAACGTCCAGAAGCAGGAATCCATCCTTCGCAGTATGAATTCCGTGTCTGATTCTGCTTTTGCTTTCTTCTCCATGGAGTAGTTCTCCCATTCATCTGGGTATGGAGAACCCTAGATTTGTATGTTAGGCTTTGATTGTATGAACCCAAGTACTGATTCTGTGATTGATTATATTCGATTGAGGTTTTAATGATTGAATGACTTGAATCCTGATCAAATTCCTGTTGTTTCTGCTCTGACCTAGAATGAGAATATCTGCCTAGGTTAATAGAGTATCCTTGATTGAAGGTAGGGAGTTGGTGACTTTAGTCGAGGAGCCAACTCACTATTCTGTACCGGATTTACTCCGGTAGTGGAGGTTTTGTTCTTAGGGCCTCAATCTGTCGACTCCGGTGGAGGTTAGTCGCCCGCTAGAGAGTCAGATTGAGAGGGTCTGAAGACCTTTAGTCGAGACTTCAGGCTGTTTAAGAACCTTCCGCAGTATAACTATCATAGACACTGAACTTGGTAATTACAATCCGGCTTAACTGCAGTCTAGGGGGAACCATATCCGGGTGACCTCTTTAACTTGAATACAACCGTTTACCTGCTTTGTTAGTTTGATAGTTTAGACTTGCATTCCAGTTTCATTGCTAGATAACACGAATTCACTGAGTAGTCATCATATCTAGGACCCGGGTTGATAATTAAACCCAAACCCGCTATACTACGCTTTAGGAAGTGGTTTCACTTGGCCAATTCCTGGAGTGACAGTAGAGTCGAGTCACTCTTCGGGAGAGATGGGCGGGAAAGAACTTCTCGGCGGCTAGGGTGTCGATTTTGTTCTTCTCTGGAGGAGAAGAGGAGACGAATCGAGAAGTGAGAAATTTCAGGAGTGGGCGGCGTTTTTTTGACGAGAAGGAGTTAGGGTTTTCGATCTCTAGAATAGAGAGGAAAATAGAGAGAGGACCGAGAGATGAGAGTGGTGAGGCGGCCGCTCGGCATTAGGATAGGTTTAGGGTTTTCTAGAAATGAATATATACCCCATTGATTAAAATGTCTTAACTACCCTTAGGGTTTCCCTAAAATTACGTGGCCTTGCCACCGTCCTTTTGTGTTATTACTAAAATACCCTTCCCCTTTTGCTGCACCTAAACGAGAATCAAGTAAAAAATGTGAGTTGAGGGATTCGAACCCACAACCTCGCGGTCGAACCGAACCTAGGACTGCATGTTTAGCCACTTGGGCTACTGGGCAATCATTTGTTATTGTAATCATCTCATTCAATTTTATTTGTTTAAAAATCCTTAATACGAAATGTTGCACGCCGATTAAGTTTACCTTGCCTCTTTTCTAATACATCAAAGTCTCTTCTTAATCATTAAAGCCCTTACGTTTGTTTTAGTAACATCATTGTAATGTAAATTTTATTAACAAAATTAAAATGCGAGAACCACGATCGGTGGAACGTGGTAAAAATTACATTAAAAATTGTCAAGGTCCCAAACGAACTACGTGGACTTTGATCCCGTCTAACGGGTACGTAGGCAACCGATAAGGTTCGATTCCAACTAACCAATTAATTCCACTTTTAATTTTTACGTCAGTGGGCGTATAATTAAATTACAGTTAATACGATTTAATTTCTTTAGTGGTCTGGTAAGGCCCTAAAAATACCTAAAATACCTAATAATAAACTAATACAATAAAATCATTAAATGGTCCAGTGGGACCTAAAATTACTAAAATATTACTAAAATACACCCAGCTCGCATAAAAACTTATCGACTTAAGTAGTACCGATTTAGGGCATTGTGGGGGTGTTGCTTAACTTCCCCATACGTAACCGTACTCCCGAACCCAGAACTTTATTTTTGCAGACCATATCTCGGTTCTGACCCTAAGGTTAGAGCCGATTCGAAGAGTGTTCGATCCACTCCAAGTAAGATCGATGGCGACTCCCAAAAAATGCCGACGCGACGACATCGGACCCCCCGGAGGGACGGTTGCGACAGTTGGTGACTCCGCTGGGGACCCTCGAGAGTCGAGCTACATTTACTAAGTTTGATAAGTTTTCTTACTTTCTCTTATATGTTGGGTGTTTACTACTTATTTGCGCAATTATATTTTCGCAATTTAAATTTTTCATTCATGCACAAAAGCTCTACGCCCGAGCTATCCCTTTAGAAAATTGAAAGGAGTACCGTGACTTCCATAGTAGTGGTCGTCACGCAAAACTTTCTAACCTAGTTGAACTCGGATCCGAGGATGATCTTGAGGTATCTAGCCAGTTCGAAAGGACTACGGCAAGATACAACTGGGGAACCAAATTCCTAGGAATTCCCCTGCCAGCATATAGTAAGCATAGAGGCCTCCCTAACCCGTCCAAAATTATCCCGAAACCACCCTAAAACCATGTCGTTACGCCGCCCGAAAGCCTTAGGTCTACCTAAATAGGGAAACGATGTGATTATATGTGTTTGCTAATCTAAATGGATGTTTGCTTGCGATTTATTGATATTGTGTTTTATCTTTTCCTCGCAAAACTATGTGATTGTATGAATGAAAAATGTTTTCAAAATTCATAAGCATCATTCTCTCGTAACATTTTCATTCGCTCATTTACAACTTATCATAAAAAGACAAAAATGCATGCATGATGAAAAATAAATTTGCATTCATACATCATTAACACTTGCATAAGCATCACGCATATACATACCCATAATAAAAATGAAAAATAATTTTTCAATTTTAAGATGGATCAGGGTTTCTAAAATCATTCATCCACGAGGAAAGAGTCCAGTCTTTAAGTATTTGACAAGATCCAAGGATGAGCTCATCATGGAGGCATTCCAGAAGAAGATGGGTGATGTTGAAGGAAAGTTGACCGGATTCGATGAAAAGCTATCCGGGTTCAATCAAAAGCTAGAAGGTGTCGACGAGGTAAAAAATCAACTAAATTTGCTGATAGGGATGATGTCAGCAAAGAAGAAAGAGGTAGCAACCAATGATGAAGAAATGTCAGTTTACAATGACGATAATGGCAAGCCACATAATGGGGGCAATTCGAGCAAGAAATTCATCAGTATACCCATAAACGAGAAGCTTGATAAAGACAAAATTGGATCATCAAAACTTGATGACTCGCAAGGGAGACGGAAGTTAAAAGAAACTGTGATCGATGCCATGTCAAGAGAAAAACTTGAACGACTCGATGAACGAATAAGAGCTATAGAAGGAACGGAGTCATACGGGCCCACAGATGCATCGCAATTATGTTTGGTCCCAAATGTGATGATACCTCACAAATTCAAAATGCCAGAATTTGAAAAGTACGAAGGTGCTACTTGCCCCAGAAGCCACATGGTTATGTATTGCAACAAGATGGCTAACCATATTCGGGATGAAAAATTGTTGATACATTGCTTCCAGAATAGCTTAAGTGGTCCAGCTCTAAGATGGTATATGCAACTCGAAAGATCAAAGGTGAAGAGATGGCAAGATCTAGCTGATGCATTCTTCAGACACTATAAGCATAACCAAGATTTAGCTCCAGACAGGGAGGACTTGCGTAATATGGAAAAACAAGAGAAAGAATCCTTTCGTGAATATGCCCACAGATGGCGAACAAAAGCCGTAGATGTTCAACCTCCTCTATCAGAGAAAGAAATGGTGTCAATCTTCTTCGACACACTCAAGCCTCCCTACTATAACAACATGGTAGGAATTACCACGAATAACTTTGTCGATCTTTTGATAATCGGTGAAAGGATAGAAAAAGGGATCCGACAAGGCAAGATGGAAATACCAGAAGGCTCCGCGAGACTAAGCCAGAAAAAGAGAAAGGAAGAAGAGGTATATTCATCCCACAAAGAAGCAAAAGAGAAAACACGAAAAAGCAATTTTCAAAATAATCAAGCCCTCCCATATGTTGCAACTACCACACAAATATTGCAACCTCCAAACTTCATGAAATCAACTATCCAAAATCCCACACCAATACCACGACAAGGTGCCAATCGAGATGTTAGTATCACAAGGAAAGCAAAAAGGGTATTTGACCCCATCCCGGTCACGTATACCGAACTCTTTCCTCGATTACTCCATGATCATCTAATCACTCCTATTCCGGGTGAGACTCTACAACCTCCATTTCCAAGGTGGTATAGGTTCGACAAGCATTGCAATTACCATTCAGGAGTCCAAGGGCATTCAATGGAAAATTGCAACGCTCTGAAGATAAATGTTCAAGACATGGTGAACGCCGGATGGTTGAAGTTTGAATAAGAGGAGATCGTTTACACGTTAACAACTGCCTACTGCAGACTCATGGAAGTCAATAAGCATAACCCCAAATAAATATCAGATAGTTCGCCACAATAAAGATGTATTACCTTTTGCTTTCGTCATAAGAAATAAAAGGTTATTCACGTTTCTACTTGCTCGGAGCATTTTGTGATCATTATCAATCTCGATTTCGGATTTCGCATCAATAGTTCCTATGTCTCCAAATGATAAAAGTCTATTCATGGATTTTTACTTGAATTTTCTAAAATAAATCATAAATCAATTTCGTGTGTTCAAATTAAGCCATGGGATTATCATACCAAACAACTATGAACACCCTACTGGTGTTGAGAGATTACGAACACCCTACTGGTGTCAAGATTTGAACACCCCACGGGTCTTGAGAATACAAAAGGCCAACTTATATTGAGTGTATAAACGCGCCACTGGTATTTGTAAGTCATGTGAGATGATTATTCATGGGATGTAGTGGGGATACGACATCAGGCTATTTTAAGAATCTTGTCACATTTAGCCGAATCTCGTCACCAAAATAGTGTTTGAAAAACTATCCAATTAGCCCAGCCATCAAGAGAGACACTCATGTTGTCAGCCATCAAGACAAAGTCATAACCCTTTTGTGATCGTGCCCAGAAACACAAAGTTCAGTTGAAGACTTAGTGAAACACATAGGGGGCATAACAAAGTCAAGCAAGTCTCACAAACGTGAAAGTTTCAAAAGGGAAACAACAACAACAAAACATTGTGGGACTTACAACTAGATGCCCCTTTCTATGTTATCTAAAGTCATAACCACTCAGCCAAGAGATCTTCCAACCAATATCAAAGGAAGAAGCTCAAGCAAAAGCTTGCGTGATAAAAGACCCATGTAGTCACTACCACCACACAAGGGAACTCCTCAGCATACCACTCTGGGATGAAGCAAGGATTCATTTGCTTCCTATTCATTTTTTTCCTCTCAAAACCAATATTCAAGAGAAGGGGGGCAATACAAGCTATAGATACACTCTCTGGAAATCACCAACATTTCCAAGGAAAAGAAAGAGTTCCTTGATGAGAGAACTTGCAAACCTTATACGAGTCCCCTATTTCCATCAATTAGCACATATCTTTGGGGGCAAACCAAAATTTCCCGACAAAAGTCATGATATCGCCAAAACCTCTCAAATATCCCACTTATATCATTGTCTCAACCCTACATTACAAGACAATGAAAATTTCAGGACTAAAGGATCCTTATAGTCAAATCAACCAACAACCTCCTTTCATGAAAAATCATATACCTCCATGATGAGACTATATGAGATCACCTAGATCAACCACACAAAGTTCTCTTGTTGAGAAAAACCTTAACCTCAATCCCATGTGACCGTCAACAAAGACAAAGTCATCTCATGGTGACAGGAATCTTGATGGTAGCCGAAGTGTCGTAAACTTAAAACATCCATAGGAATGAGTGAAAGCGAAAAAGAGGTCAAGGTCGAGAGTGAGAGATCATGGATATTCTCATGGCTCGATTTGCACTCTTCTTGAAACAAAAACAATTATGAGCATTATGAAAACAAAATTTGTGACAAAAGTCACATGAGAAAATGTATTTGCTCAATTTGCACACACTACCTTAAACAAGAGCTTTAAAATCTAAAAATGAGTTTTCACTTTGTTACTCCAACAAAGTTATTTTCAGACGTTGTTGCATTTATCCTAAGTCGAGGATGATAAAAATCACATTTCGTTCCAGAAGATGGAGAATGAATAACCTATCTTTGGGGGCAAAATTGGGGCAACTTAGAAGAAAGTTCAAGGTACTAAGTAGCTAGACTACTCAACTTTCAACTCCCTATTTATGAAGAAATTTTGAAGAACTTGGAGACACTCAAGTTCCATGAGACCAGGTGGTCAACTAAATTTTTCTTCGATGACATACTGACAAGAAGAAGCACAATACACTCTGTCACCAAGAAAGACAACCTCATAAGAGACCCATATGACCTACATTGGGCATCAAGAAAGAAAAAAACAGAACGACATGGTACCTCAGGGTTCCCTATATCCGAGATAGGCTCAATCAAAGGTTCAATCCGAAAAACCAATCCTGACAAGACATACCTCAAGATGATAGATCTTCTTAACCAAACAAAATATCGCTTACATCGCAACAAATACCAACAAGGGCAGGGCCCCTGGTCGAGCTAATTATTCCAAACCCTAAGCCTAAGAGGTTGGGTTTCCCAGACATCATGCATCAAAGCAACAAAGTACCCAATATCCCTACCCCTGAACCATAGAGGCAGATACTCAAAGCTCGCACTATCGAGTTTTGAGCTCAACTAACGATCAAGTCTTCCAAAGACGATGACAAGATTCCTGGCGGATGATCGATTTAAAGAAACCCAGGACCAACAACTAAAACAATGTATTTTGCATGACATCATTATTCAATATGATACATCATAGTGTAATTTCTAAAAAAACATGTGCATCTTTACTTTACACATGCATTGAGCATCTCATCAGAACCTTAGAAATTGTCTGCGTCAACTTTCAAAATCTACCGAGATCCAAAAAACATCGCATCAACTTTCGCACTAGAAAACCTTAAATCCTCGCGTTGGCGAACGCTATACAAACCACGTCCTCGCGTTGGCGAACGCTATATAAACACGTCCTCGCGTTGGCGAACGCTATACAAAACACGTCCTCGCGTTGGCGGGCGCTATATAAACACGTCCCCGCGTTGGCAAGCGCTATATAAACATGTCTCCGCGTTGGCGAACGCTATAAAAAAAACAACTCCGCGTTGGCGAACGCTTATATAAAAACGTAAACCCGCATCGTTAACCGTCATCTAAATTTCTCGCGTTGGCAAACGCTATATAAAAATGTAATTTCCCGCGTCGACGAACGCTATATAAAAAAGCAAATTTCTCGCGTTGGCAAACGCTATATAAAAATGCAATTTCACGCATTAGCAAACAATTTGCAAAAACGTAAAACTCGCGTTGGCAAACGCTATAGAAAAATGTGATTTCGTTACAATCAACATTCGCATTTCGATTACAAACAACTACCAGCTTTTCTCACTACACTCAAGCATCACTCTTTTTGTGATACAACGCAATCGCCATCAGAGTTTTACAAAATGTGGTGTCTTATCAAGAACTTTGTATAACTCTTTATACAAAGAGATATACAAAGGGGGGCAACTGTAGACACCACATTTTGTCCGGTCTAATGTATATCACGGGAATATCAAACTACGCATTCAATCAATCGAGAAGTGTGACACAATAAACTTGGTTCATGAAACCAAATCAAGGAGCAACATGGGTCATGGTTAGCGATTCGTGTTAGAGAATTATTCAAAGTTCGATGGTAAAAGCTGGAAGAATTGGAAGATCGACACAATCATACATCACTACAAAGAGTTCCAATTTACACGCATACAATCCTCAAATACTATTTGAAAGAGAGAATATTTTTCTATCTAAAAGCGAAGAACCAAGCCCAACCCAACGTAAGGAAGAGTGGAAGACCATCAGCAATGCACCTGCAAAGAGAAAAAAGAGAAGAAGAAGAATCAGTTAGTAAAGCCCAGAATCAGAGCCCAGTTCGGCCCAAAACGGATACCAGATCCAGGACTAGACCAAATCCAAACTCGGATTCAAAGTCCACAAGTATCAGGCCAATTCGGCCCAAGGGCAAGACTAGGCAAAGCCCATTTTGAGCCCTGACAAAGAACAGCTCGGCCCACAAATCAAGGCCCAACTCATGTGCAAACCTTATCCTGAACCAACCCTGACACGTCAGAACCGACCAAGCAAGGTGGTGGCTCATGGGGCAGCCTCAAAACCCGACCAATCAGAAAGAACCACTGCATTTTGAGCCTTAACAAAGACGAACGACAAAGCAACACGTGGCATGCGATTTTTCTATAAGAAGAGCTCTTCAGCTCTTGATTTGAGAGGAGAAAAAAGAGGGGAGTGCTGGAGGAGAAAACACAGATTTCATCGTTCTTTCTTAGAGAATCCATAGATAGACATCTTCCATTTCCGTTTTACAAGCGAGGTGGGTGAGCCAGAGGCAAAAGCAAAGGATCCTGAGGTCCAAGGTTAGAGATTTGTACTCTTTCGTCTATTTAGATAATAATACAAGTAGAACCATTTACGATCAATCACTTGTCCAGATCCTTTTAATTACTAGTGTCTCTATCATATTAGTTTCTTTCATCTAATATCCATTTTTCAGCTTCTCTCCATTTAAGTGCTCACTAATTACTATTGCTCTTTATGGTTAGCAATTAGTTATTTATTGACTATACTTGCTTAGCATACATCATGACTCCGCTTTTTATTTTACAAGCAGTTATTATAGCCAAATTTTCCTAGTTTTAATTTCCCTTCTTGCTATAAAGTCGATAACCACAATATTATCATACATAAACTTTTGATCTCTTTAGATCAAGATCTAGATCCAAATCCAAACCCCCAACAAAAACACCATAAACATAATAAATTTCTGATTCACAAACTTTTACCAGTTCTTTAATCAATCAAAAATCATACATCTAATAAAATCACAAACACAAACAGTGATTCGTGGTCAATATTTTAGCAAATCACAGGCAGAGACTGTGATTTATATTCGGCAAAGTTAGCGTTTTAGAACATGTTAATCACTTCTCATTAAAGAAAATTCCTTTCTTGGCAAATTTTAGCATATCGAGAGTTTTCTAAAACCATCAACCAAACCACCAAGCATGAAAATATTCGAGATCATCAAACACACATACAACATATTTCCAAACCACAGATTTGTAAACCAAATATAAACCGAAACACAATCCTTTCCTTTTTTTTTAGTTCAACCATCCCAATCATATTAACCCGAGTTTAGGACAACCTTACCCAGATCTGTCCATTTCCAATAACTGCATCAAAACAAAAGTAGAGGTCAGAATAGATTAAAGAGGTAATAAACCGAAACAAAAATAAAATAAAAATAATAAAATTCTCACCTGACTTCGTCGGCTGAACTTTGCCGACGGAGATCTCGGCGACCAAAGAGTCCCTCATCCTCCACCCGACTAAAATAAATTTTTTATTAAAACCCAAAATACGAAATAAAAAAATACGAATAAACCCCAAAAAAATTAGTCCGAACCTACCGTCGACCGTCCCTTGGTCTGGACGTCGCCGCCGGTCTTCGCCCTCCTTCACCCCTCGTCCAACACCAAAAACCCAAGCAAAAATCAAGATTAAAATCTTGTCTTGTGTGAAAAAATTAGATCTAAGCGTGCATGTTTAAGAGAAGCTCACCGAAGAGTTAACCGAGAGTAGAAGGAGGTAGATCGAGAAACCCCCCTCGGTTTGGGATGATTTCTCCGAAAATGAAAACGAAAATGAAAGGAAATTAGTCGAATCCAAAAAAAAATCACCTAAAAATAGAAGATTAAGCCATGCATGTCATTGTCTTACCTAGATTGGGATCCTCCTGGTCGGATTAACTCAAGTCGTCACCTAGTAAATCTGAGAAAAAGAATGAGAGATTCGCGGTTTGAGGTGACGAGGAGGTTTGGGTTCGCGCTTGCGTTTTTTTGACGAGAGGGAGTTAGGGTTTTCGATCTCTAGAATAGAGAGGAAAATAGAGAGAGGACCGAGAGATGAGAGTGGTGAGGCGGCCGCTCGGCATTAGGATAGGTTTAGGGTTTTCTAGAAACGAATATATACCCCATTGATTAAAATGTCTTAACTACCCTTAGGGTTTCCCTAAAATTACGTGGCCTTGCCACCGTCCTTTTGTGTTATTACTAAAATACCCTTCCCCTTTTGCTGCACCTAAACGAGAATCAAGTAAAAAATGTGAGTTGAGGGATTCGAACCCACAACCTCGCGGTCGAACCGAACCTAGGACTGCATGTTTAGCCACTTGGGCTACTGGGCAATCATTCGTTATTGTAATCATCTCATTCAATTTTATTTGTTTAAAAATCCTTAATACGAAATGTTGCACGCCGATTAAGTTTACCTTGCCTCTTTTCTAATACATCAAAATCTCTTCTTATCATTAAAGCCCTTACGTTTGTTTTAGTAACACCATTGTAATGTAAATTTTATTAACAAAATTAAAATGCGAGAACCACGATCGGTGGAACGTGGTAAAAATTACATTAAAAATTGTCAAGGTCCCAAACGAACTACGTGGACTTTGATCCCGTCTAACAGGTACGTAGGCAACCGATAAGGTTCGAGTCCAACTAACCAATTAATTCCACTTTTAATTTTTACGTCAGTGGGCGTATAATTAAATTACAGTTAATATGATTTAATTTCTTTAGTGGTCTGGTAAGGCCCTAAAAATACCTAAAATACCTAATAATAAACTAATACGATAAAATCATTAAATGGTCCAGTGGGACCTAAAATTACTAAAATATTACTAAAATACACACAGCTCGCATAAAAACTTATCGACTTAAGTAGTACCGATTTAGGGCGTTGTGGGGGTGTTGCTTAACTTCCCCATACGTAACCGTACTCCCGAACCCAGAACTTTATTTTCGCAGACCATATCTCGGTTCTGACCCTAAGGTTAGAGCCGATTCGAAGAGTGTTCGATCCACTCCAAGTAAGATCGATGGTGACTCCCAAAAAATGCCGACGCGACGACATCGGACCCCCCGGAGGGACGGTTGCGACATGTAGTCACTAAAATTAGTAAAACAACCCAAGTTTGGTCACTCTCTGTTAGTCTCTGTAAACTACGTCAATTTTTTGATGATGTGGCTAACAGACATGTCTAATAATCTAATTTAACCTACCACATCATATAACCTGACCCGCTACATCATATCCACTAGATAACCTAACCCAACTCGATTAAAATACCGACCCGACCTCTCTTCTTAACATTTTAGGCGAAGTTGACCTAAATCTGGCCTCACTTTGACATCACAAACCCTTCGTCGTGATTTGGAACACCGACGAGGAAGAGGATTGGCTGCCGCCAAAGCCTTCATCATTCTGGCGGTCTCAGTCTCCTACGCCTCCTCACTCTCTGACTCCTATCGATCTCTGCCTCCTTGTGGAATTGGATCATAAAAAAATCAGGGACTGGTGGGCAACATGGGATTCGCTATATCTAGATCACCGACTAAGGTGGAGAGTAGCGGAAGCAGCTTCAACTTCCTCCTTTAATTTGGCGGCTACCTTCGACCACGATCCCGACCATTTGCGTGAGGTAGAGTCCATCTGTTGGGGAGCAGCTCGGCTTCAGGGTCAATCGAAGATCGGAAGTCAGATGGTGATTGATTTCTGGTGATAGCAGGGTGGGCCCTAATCGACAATGATGGCGAAGGAAGCGGTGCAAGTCATGAAGTCTGATGCTCGGGCAGGGGAACCGCAGAGGTGCAGCAGGGAGTCGAATCGACGAGATAGGGGGGGAGGAGGAACGAAGTGCCATCAGAGACTGGAGCAACCATTATTGGGGCGAACCCACAGCGGCGCCATCGGAACCCTTGACCAAAATTGATCCTGGTTTTGGAAGTTGGATCGATCGCAAATTGGTGAGAGGCGGACTGCGAAAATGTTGCAAGTGTCGATTGTGCTTAAGAATCCATCTTCCCAAACCCAACTAGGATATGAAGCTATAAAACTAGTGATGCGAGTTCTGAAGTACCCAGACAACAAAATTTCATATATACCCTTGAATCGAAGAGAATGAAGGAAGAAGGCGGCGGATGGTATGATAAGGCTACTCTGTATGTAGCGAGAGAGAGAGAGAGAGAGAGAGAGAGAGAGAGAGAGAGAGAGAGAGGGCATGCGATTCTGTCCGGATCCAATTGTCGAAGGACGACAAGAAAAACGAAGAATGGTTTTCAGACCAGGAAAGGAAAATGAGATATTTGTTTGAGTGAGTCGGTTCATGGGTAGGTATTTTGATGCATTTCAAGGGTTGGGTTGGGATAGATAAGATGATGTGGCAGGTCTTAGTGACGTGGTGGGTCGGGTTTCATCATTTTCGGGTTATATTAGGCTGATCAGGCGTTTCCGTTTGCCATAACAGTCTTCGTTAACGAAGAGTCGAAGACGGACGAAGACTAACGGAGAGTGACCAAACTTGAACTATTTTATTAATTTACGTGACTGTGAATGGAATTAAACATTTCTAGTGACTAAACATTAACTTTTTTAGTAATCTCAGTGACCAACATTGCAATTTACCCCTTAAATTAAATTATATTTCTAGTCTTTGAAATATAAAATTACTAAATTATGTATCCATATTCTTTATAATGTGTAAAATCGGAATAAACTAGTCTAATTCGGTCTAATTTGATCAGCCCATCAACCCTCGGTCCACTTGTGTGACCGAACTATCGGGCCAAACCGAGTTAACAACCTCAAAATTATGCCATTTTTTTTTTTGGTGATAGGGAATTCGGAATAAGAGAGGGAAGATACCATATTCCTCCGGAAGGAAACTTGATTCAATCTCATCCGTCCATCCATGACGATCATGATTCATGACAAATTCAATCCACCACCAAAGAAAAAGAAGAAGAGGGGGGCAAGAAAAAAAAAAGGGAAAGGGACAGCAGCTTTGCTTCAAAATCTGTGCTGCTGGGGTTTGACCGTCGTATTTCGTACTCTCTCCCTCTCTCGTCTCTCTCCATAATTCCCTTCCTTCTTCTTCTTCCTCTCTGCCTCTCGTAAACTAATTGAAAAAGAGAGGGAGATAATAATAATAATAGGGCCAAAACCCCACACACACAAAAAAGCTCGCCCGAAAGTTAATTGTTTTTTGGGTTCCCAATTTGCTCTGTTCTCCCTCTCTCTCTCTCTCATCATCATCAATTCAATCATCACTCCTTTTCTCTTCCTCGTTTTATGATTTTTGTTCTCTGCAAAAGACAGAGCAGCAAAACCACAGATCGCCATCACCCTCCGCCAGCTCTCACTGACTCTCCCGCATCTTCTCCTCTAAGGACTGGACTGGATGGGATTGAATGAAGCAGTGATTGCCTAAACCGCCACCACTGCTCTCTCTTTTCCCTTCTCCGATTGATACTTACTCAATCCTCCCGCCGCCTAGGGCTCCTTTTCTCTCTCTACGTAAGTCTTCCAATCTGTCTCCGCTTTTGATTATGTACCTCTGCCACCCTTCACTTCACTGGCCTGTTTGTTCTTTTCTTCTCTCCCGAAGCTGCTATCTACTGGCGATGCATGTATCAATATGTGGTTTCTCTTCTGTAATGCAAATTTGATCTTGTTTTTCGGGATTCTGCTTACTCTGTTACCCCTCTGCATCTTACTTCGCTTCTCACCTTGGTCTTTGTAATTTTAGCGTTTCTGAACAACCATTTTTTCTCTGCTTGCAGGGAACTCGACTGTTCAATTTTTTTGTTTAGGGACTTGAGCAATACCCAGCTAGTGGCTTCCTCATATACCGAGGGTACACTTTCGAGTTCCCTATTCCTTTTTTTTTCCCCTTCTTCCCTTTTTCGTTTGTTGGTCTTAGGGAGAACATGAATGGTGCTTGCTCAGATTCACAACAATTAACCACTTTTTTATTTCGTTTCTACTGGTCTTGGTCAGTTCCTTGCTTGCATGTTTCGGAGATTCTTACCTTTTGGAAATGTTATTAGATTTAGCTTCCTAAACTTGCTTTTCAGTGAGGAAGGTCATCCTTTTCATCACTTGCATACTGCCTTCTGCCATTCTACTTTCCTTTTCCTGGTTTTGTTTTTATTATTTTTGCATTTTTGTCAAACGGGCATGGTAAACTGCCAGGAATTATTGTTCCTTCTCCTGTTGGGGGCTATTCATGCAATGCATCAACCTTAAATTTTGGCTAATGTGACTTTCATTGTTAGGGATAACGGTAGGACCATTCTTTGATGTGGGTGGTGGTAGTTGGCACAATTGTTTACTATTGAAGATTTTTCTGATTGTTCTAAAGTCTGTTGTTTGCTTGGTTCTCAAAGTTGATATTTTGGGAAGTCTATGGTCTGCATTTGGTTGATGTTGAATTTGATTGATTAATAACCAGTAGTTTTACAGAGTCGAAAAGCAGGGCAAATGAGTAGAGTAGTAAAAGAGAACCACAACCATAGAAGTGAAGAACCTCAAACAGTAGATTAGGGGACCAGCTGCGCTTGAATAATTAAATTAGGGATTTTGCGATATATTATTGGGTTGTAATGTGAGATATTCATAGAATTTGAAATGCGAGAGACAAAGTAGAAGAACTGACCTCGATGTTTGATGTTGTGACTTTGAGAATTCAGGGTCTTTGAAATGCAACAGGAGCTTTAATTTTTATTACCAATCTTTTGCCAATACTCATTTGAATGTATGTATATGTTATTTGAAGGGCACAAGTTGGATACTATAAGCAAATTCAACCATGGACCCTAATGGAGGCCAAAAAGTGAAGCGAAGGAATCCACTTGTGCATGAAAATGGTGATTTCGCACTTTCTAGCCTCGGTGATGTAGACCCATGGACTGCATGGGCATACAAGCCACGCACCATCTCGCTTCTACTTATTGGTGCATGCTTCCTGATGTAAGTTCCTTGCCAAATCATTATGTAAATTTTTAAGTTCGTTTGGTGCAAGTCTTCTTACTAACCGATTTGTGCATGGTTGAAATAGTTGGGCTAGTGGAGCGCTTGACCCTGAGATTAGCACAGGTGGTGATGTTGTTACGTCCGTGAAAAGGTTGGGTCTCTGCTTTATAACATCACTTGAGATTGTTTGTTGTAAGGATCCAGCCTTCAGTATTTTCTACACTCTCTGAATTTCTTTTTGTGAATCTCTCTTGTAGAGGTGTATGGGCTATGATCGCAGTTTTTCTTGCTTATTGCTTGCTGCAAGCTCCATCAACGTAAGTTTTTTTTGTAATGATTTGGCATCTTCTGTTATACACTATGTTTAGCTGCTTGTGTACCCTGTTATTTTAGAGACTTTTGGGGACACCAAACATGATCGCTCACTTACTGATCAGGCGATCCTTGTTTAGCCTTGATAATGTTGATGGTTATCTGTCCCTAACGTTTCAGATTAACTGCATCTTGTTTGTATGCAATACATTATCTTGCAAAGTACTACTCTAGCAGATTGTGTAGCTTGAAATTCTGCTTGTTAAAGCCGCCACTGTAAATACTTAATGAAACAAGTAGTGGATTTCGTCATTAGGAAAGAAGAATGGATTCTGAATAAGTGTTTTAGTTATCTGTGCACTAAGAACATTTGAGAATTTATGTTGCAGGATTCTTATAAGGCCACATCCAGCACTTTGGAGGCTAGTTCATGGCATGGCTGTCATCTATCTTGTCTCCCTCACTTTTTTGCTTTTTCAGGTACACAAATTTAATTTCTGGCATGTAAACTGGAACTCTTTCTTACTCTCTTGTATATTTCTGTTGCTTGCATTTGGATATGCCTGGCTGTTATATTTATTGAGTTGTGGTAGTCTTGTCAGTTGTGCATCTTTATCAGTAAAATCTCCTTTATCTCTATCTGGAAATCATCTTCCTATTTTCTCCATGAGATTAATGGCAAAGTTTTTCTTTTACAGAAACGTGATGATGCTAGACAGTTCATGAAATTCCTTCACCCCGATCTTGGAGTGGGTAATGATTTTCACTCACAAATCCAATTGATAGGCTCTAGTTAGCTCTCTGATGACTTACCCTTGAAATAGACAAAGTTTCTTTTACTATTGGCTATAGTAATCTGATATAAACTGTGCTTTTATGCAGAGCTTCCTGAAAGGTCTTATGGAGCAGATTGTCGCATTTATACACCTGAAAATCCTACAAGCAGGTTTAAGAATCTTTATGTATGATTTCTTCTTTCCCGACTTTCCTTTAGATCACTGTACTGAAGGGTGCCTTTGCCTGAGTGACTTTTGTTTTTGCCTTTTTTCTCCATTGGTTTTACTGGTAGCACAAGTTTTATGCCCAAGTGTCATTGCGGCATCATTTTGTTTGGTTTGTCCAGGACACATTTTTCGATGAATTTGTTCTAGCTCATATTTTTGGATGGTGGGGCAAGGCTATACTCATCCGCAATCAGCCTCTTCTTTGGGTGTTATCTGTTGGATTCGAGTTCCTAGAGGTTAGTTGGTCTGCTAATTCTTGCTATCTGTTTGGTTTCTCAATTTCTGTGTGTGTTTGCTTTTAGCTCTTGGACAACAGTGCTAATTAAGTTCTCTGGCATTCTCAGTTTACTTTTCGCCACATGTTGCCAAATTTCAATGAGTGCTGGTGGGACAGTATCATTCTCGATATACTGACATGCAACTGGTTTGGTGAGACTTCTTGAACAGTTGATATTCATTACTTCCTTTTACTCTTTTTGCTGTTCCGTGGAACTTCTTTCTGATTGATATTTCTGATAAGGTGACAATTTGAGGCAGCTGATTGAGAAAGATTTCTATATTCTAGATACCATTATTATATACAGCTTTGTATATTTGGTGTTTAGTGCTATAGTTTCTAAATCAAATTGATAGTGTAGCTACGTGGGATATTGTCAGCTGCTCTCAGATGGATGTGGACCTTATTGTCACTGTTGAAATATGCTTTTTAACCTTCAACGTACAATTGTTTTAGGAAGTTGATAAAGTTTAGTCAAACGGTGCAACCTCTCTGGCTCTCCTAGTTTGTCTAGTTATTAGGTCCATGAACCTTATTAGGTTTACGTGTCTACACTCTGATCTTCATGGAGGACAGATATATGATCTTGTTAGCTAATTCCTTTCTCATCTACTTGTCCATAATGATAGTGCATTCATAATACCAGTCATTTGTGATAAAGTAATCATTACTCATCTAAAGAGGATCATGAAGTAATTGCTAAGCAAGACTATTAGGGACCATAGTAGTCAATGATAAAGCATTTATTAGCAGATTCGGGATAACCATCTAGATGTCTCAATCAAGTTGAATTCTAGTTCGTAAGGATCAAGAAAGCTAAACGTGCTACTTCTAGTAAATCTAGTTCGTAAGGATCAATAGGAGTTTTAATTTTGGCGTTGGATGAGTGTGGGCCTATAATGGTAAATGAGGTATAATCTGCTGTGTTGTCATTCTCCCCCTACCCAAAAAAAGCAACACACATGCACACAGATTGTCTGGTTGATTCTGGTTTATGATTTCAAATGTTTGGCTAAGATCGTATGTATTTCACAGGTATTTGGGCAGGTATGCGTACTGTAAGGTACTTTGATGGGAAAACGTACGAGTGGATTGGTATTAGCCGGCAGCCTAATATTATGGGCAAGGTATGTCTTCTCCTTTATCGCAGGTGCACTGCACGAGCTTCTTACACATACTATGGATCTGTAGATGCTTCCTTCTTGGTTGTCTAAGAATTGAAGTGTGAAAATAATTTTTTGTTTGGTTTTTTATTTCTTTGTGAGAATGATAAAATATGATCCTGATACCATTTTCTGCCATATCAGCTACATACAGTGATGATATCTTCTGAATTTCTTTATTGTTACTTGGTGCTTGCCAGGTGAAACGAACACTTGGACAATTTACACCGGCACAGTGGGACAAGGATGAATGGCACCCTTTACTTGGTCCATGGCGTTTTCTTCAAGTTCTGACCCTGTGCATAGTCTTCCTGACAGTAGAACTGAACACATTCTTTCTCAAGTTCTGTCTTTGGATCCCTCCACGCAACCCTGTGATAATATATAGATTGATCTTGTGGTGGCTAATTGCCATACCAACAATCCGTGAATACAATTCCTATCTTCAGGATCGGTACTCTCTCTCTCTCTGTCTCTACTGTTTGCCTGTGATTGTACAACGAACATAAGTTAACTTCTTACACATACTATGTGATCTTTTACAGGACACCGTTTAAAAAGGTTGGAGCTTTTTGTTGGCTTTCCGTTGCAATTTGCATTATTGAGCTTCTCATCTGCATCAAGTTTGGACATGGTTTGTTCTGTAACCATACTGAAGCTTCCTCCTCACTTTCTTAAATTCTGAGATTTTTACATGAGGCTGGTAATGACTTATAGCTTCCTCTTACTCAGGTTTGTATCCAGCTCCTATGCCTAGGCTGTTAGTTGTCTTGTGGACTGGTGCAGGCGTTACCCTGGTCGCATTCGTGCTTCTATGGTCATGGCAATTGCATCGAAGAAGTCGTGAGAGAAAGAGACGATGATTTCTCATAGTGGTTTTGCTGGTAGTCGCTCATTCTATCTTATTGTTTTTTTGGCTTGTCATAGATGGTGGGTTTGGGGTAGGGTTTTGTACATACCCTGTCTCTCTGCATAGAGAAACTGTAAATGCTGATATATCTTGTTGGATCTTTTCACAGTTCCTGAGATTAGCATAGAGAATCACATGGATAGAGTTGTTTCTGCATAGGATTTCTAGTCCATTGAGTTGCTAATTTGAGCGCATCGGTAAATTGGGTTGTCTTTTCCGTTCAGAATCGTGTGTGTCTTAGGCTTTGAACACGAATATGGGATTTGGTGAACAAGGTTTCTAAGGAAGTACAGATTTGAGTGAAGCTATAGCCTTTGTAGGAGGCATTCATGAGTGTTTGATTTGCTGAAGAAACGATGTGGTTTGGTTTGATGTATTTTTTTATCCCCATGGAAGGTGATTTTACTGATGAGTGGAATAGATTTTTCACATGTATGATGGTGAATGACCAGTGTATGTTATGGTAGAGTTGGTGCCGGACTGTTGAGGAGGGCCTTCCATGTCTCTGGTTATTTGTAAGCATTTCGGTCCAAGTATTCCCTAGGGCAGGGGAAGTATATAATCTGGAAGAGGTTTAAAAATTTAGAATAGTTAGTATTGCCTTTGGAGTGGATAGGTATCGCAATTTGTTTTTTTTTTTTTACTGATAGTTATTCTTAAGTAAAAAGTGGAATAAAAATAAAAGGTCTACAAGAAATTAGTAGGCAGCTTAGATATAATCTGGGCTCCCATTCCCTTAGCGACAACAAAGTTAAGTCTAGCGAAAATGTACGCGGCCACACGAGTCCCCCCATCTTGAGACACGGAGAATTTCTGGATGTGCTTAAGCAAAGTCACAGCATCTGTATCCATCCCCAGCGAAGAGAAAGAAAAGGGCAGGAACCCGTAACCAGCCGCCATGCACAAGTCCTGATACTTAGCACACTTTCGCCGAGCGGCTTCAGCTACAACTCGGCCTGGCACAAAATCGGTCATCCCAGTCTGAGTCATAGGGGAAGACCCAGTCAGATCAATACACACATCTCAGGCTGTTAGTCCCAAGTAACCCAATTTTAAGCGTTCAACTGTTTTTTCCCCCTCAACAGTGGGTTCCATCCTTTATTTCTTTCCATCTCATTGATTCGTGCGCCATTCGATACTGGAGTAATCTCGGTAAAGTTGATGGAAAATGGAAGAAGCTCAATAGTGTCATCGATGGATAAAGGTAATTATTCAATCCAATTCATTCACTTAAATATCCAACTAATCCAATCCATTTGGCACTTATATTTTAATTTTTACAATTTGGTACATAAAATTTATTTTTAAATGAGAAAAATATGTTTTGGCACCTAATTTTTTTTATTGTAACACTTTAGTACCTAACTTTTCAAAATTTATATATTGATACTATTTGTTTGATTCAATCCATAAATCCACTTGATCCAATTCGATTCATGAATCCGTGAATTCAATTCACCAATCTATTTGCTACCCGTAATAGATATAACAAGTGGGAAGCGTTTATAATGTACTTTATCGATGGATACATTAGCTTAGTTTGGCCCTGCTGTAGCTTTTGCAGAACAGCTTCTGGCTGGAGCGTTTAGATAAGTACTTAAAAAAAAAACAGTTGAGTGTTTGGCTGTAAAACTATTAGAAGTGCTTTTTAATATAAGAGGTTGTGTAAAATGACTATAAAGGACTTATAATATAAAATATGAATAAAAATTCTAAACAATAAAAAGTAGTCAAAATGGATCTTGTTAGATTTATTTTATATTAAATAATATGATTTTATAATTTATTTAATTTTTAAAATGATATAAATAAAGGAAAATTATATTTTCTGAAATAAAATTAAAATATGGTAAGGATAATCTTGTATTTTCAAAACAGCTTTTCACAGAAGCTCCAAATCGGAGCTTTTGCTTTTATGTTATACAAAAGCGCTTTTCGGCTTTTCAAAAGCCGAGTTTTTATAGGTGTTTGGCCCTGCTTCAACCTTTGAACCCGAAAAGCACTTCTAAAAGCTGGACCAAACATAGGGATTGAAGGTGAAGGCAAATGGAAGAAGATCCATGTGATTCCAACATCACTGTCTTGTCCTACCAGGGTATCCTAAAAAAGATGCAAATCTTAAATTTCAGCGAGAAGAATTTTCATAAATAAAATACTGAAAACACGCACATGTAGTTCAAAGCAACACCCTAACACATGGGCAAACTCAATACTTAAAATCTCAAAATGATCTCAAGTCTATACTCATAATCATAAATGTAAATAACTACTAATCTCTAATGAAGTTGCATCTTTTTTAGGATACCCGATAAGACCTCCATCACCAGAATGAAAAGGAAAGGAGAGAGGGAGTCCCCTTGTCTAAGCCCTCTATCACTTGGAAAGAAACCAGAAGCTTCACCATTCACCAAAACAGAGAAAGAAGCTGATGAGATGCAACCTCTAATCCAAGTGAGCCATAAGTTAGGAAAATCCATGCCTTTCAGAATAGAAAGGATCCACTCCCAATTCACATGATCATAAGCTTTCTCAATGTTTCATTTGAAAACTAACCAGGGTCTTCCTTGAGACAATAAGCTCATTTGCGATTAAAACGGCATCAAAGATTTGTCGGCCCCTTACAAAAGCACATTGCTCCACTGCGATCAAACCACCCATAAATGCTCTCAATCTTTCCATGAGCACCTTGTAAAGGAATTTGTAGAGGCTAGAAATCAAACTCATGGGTCTGAGTCAGTGGCAGAGCCAGAAAATTGGCCAAGGGGTGTCTTTATCATATCATAAAAAATCACCTATACAATAGAAAAGTAAACTTTAAATTAAACAAAAAGTCAACAACGCAATACTCTAAATTCATACAATTACATTAAAATAGTTTCACGTACACCGGTTACAACGTCAACAAATAAGTTCAGTATATACAAATCAAGACTTCCATTCATCAAATATTACAAATAATAACTCAGAAGTACCTTAGAATTGATTTTGTGAAACAAACAAGTGAACTTCAATTGGTACTTTTTCACTTTCAACTTTGTTTAAACAAAAGACAAGAAATTTCTCTGTTGTAGAGCTAAAAAAAAAGAGCGAGTTTAAACAAAAGACATCAATTTATTACTATAAATAAAGACGAAAGTGCATTGCATAACAAAACTCACTCGATCGAAATGATAAGAAATTCTTCCTGCAACTGAATGGTCATTGGTTCGAATTTGTATATACCCCTACTCGGAAATTTTTTCTCCAAACCCAAGGGGGTGCTTGCACCCCCTCCTCTCCAAGTGGCTCCGCCACTGGTCTGAGTCTGAGATCTTTAACATCACCAACAACTTCTTTTTTGGGGATCAAACACAAGAAAGTGTGGTTAACACTCTTTGGAAGAACCCCAGTAGTAGCAAACTCATTCAAAGCATCCAAAACATCCTACTTAACAATGGACCAATATTTCTTAAAGAATCCCAAGGGAAAACCATCTGGTCCAGAGCATGGTCTCCCTTGCTTCTTTTTATAACCTTCCAAACTTCTTCATCTCCAAAAGGCCTCAACAACACGTGGGTAGCATGAGGAGGGAGAGAAGGGAAATCAAGTCCAAAAGGAAAAGGCCTTTTAGGATTAGCTTCCCGAAAAAGAGACTCGTAGTAAGAGACAATAACAGTAGCCAATTTTTCTTGGCCTGTGCACAACACCCCACTCACCCAAATGTTGTCGATGAAATTCCTTCGGCGATTGAAGTTTGCTACCTTATGAAAAAATGTAGTATTTTTATCCCCAAATCTAAGCCATCTCTCTTGATTTTTGCCTCCAACATATTTCCTCTCTTTTCCAAAGGCGATCCAAATGGCATTTCAACAAACAACGTCGCACTCTATCCTTGCCAGTCAAAATCCCTGCTTCTTCTAAAATATCCAAATTGCCAATCTGATGTAGTGTGAAATAGATTTCATGCCCCACTCGTTTAAACACCTCCATATTCCACTTCTTGATGAGCTCTTTCACTTGTTTAAGCTTCTTTGCACATTTGAAAAAAATCCCATAGCCCCCCACATGAGACCTCCACCAACTACCAAGATGATCCTCGAACTCTTCATGATTAGTCCCCATAAACTCAAATCGCCAAGGTCGGCAAATAGAACGATCCTCCCCACAAGAAAGGAGAAGGGTACAATGATCAGATCCAATCCGAACAAACGATTTCAAACGACAATCGAAAAAATTACTCTCCCAATCTGGCGAAATAAGAGCCCGATCCAAACGAGACAAAAACGGATTAACCTGTTGACTTGACCAGGTGAATTTATAGCCAAGTAAAGGAAGATCAAGCAGAGCAAAATCATTAATGAAATCATTAAACAATGTCATATCCATAACATTTCTTGGGGCTCCAATGACATCATCCTGAGAACGAACAACATTAAAATCTCCAACCACACAAGCGGGGAAATTCCACCAAGTCAAACAAGAAGTTAATTCTTGAAAAAAAGCTCGTCTATCACCTCTATCATTTGGTCCATTAACATTTACCAACACCCACTTGAAGCCATCATCTCTCTGAGTAAACACCACCACCGAATAAAATTTTCCAACCCAATGACATTCTAGTTCATAAACTTATTTATCCCAAACCACCAAAAGGCCACGAGATAATCTCACTGATGGTTTGTCAACCCAACCCATCCCCTGACGACCACTGATTAAGCCAATAATACAGTCTTGACAATTTTCAAGCTTTGTCTCCTGAAAGCAAAACATCGACAGGCGAATTGGAGCAAGAAATTCCCTAACTTTGAACTATTTTGATGTATCCCTCAAACCCCTAACATTCCATGAAACCAACTTAAATATCATAAAGAAAGGCGGGAAGGAGCATACCCATTGCGCTTAGGACGACCAACCATTAAGATACAATCAACATCCCCCTCAACTCCAAGTTGACGTAAGGCTCTCTCCTACGGAGACAGAGGGGGCGCCTTTCTTATTGCAAGTGCATCCTTCATGGTTTCTTCTCTAAGCAAATCAGGGGAGCTACCCACCTCTTCCATACCCAAATCCACAATTTGAGCCAACAAAGCACTACGACCAAGCAAACTCTCTTCCTCTGAACATTTCCCACCTGAGGCCACGGTAGACAAAACACTGGTGATATCCTCAATTACAACTGAACTTTGCTGTTGGGGATAAGCTGAAGACAGAAAGCTAAGTTCGTTTAAATCCCATCCCGCATTGAAAATAGAGATGGGTCATACAACTTGCATCCATAGTTGAAATAAAAGGTGGGCATTGCCGCATTGGACTGTGAATAGTGCTTTAAAGCACTTGGCCCACCCCAATCTTCCCTTAAATTCGTAGCCCCCCTAGGCCCAACGGGAAG